AATTAAAATGTTAAAATCAAATCTGATATTGTTTTACCTTTTATTTGGTGTGTGGAAGGTGTGCGGAAGAGGGGGTAGTCTTATACGGCGAGTATATAACAAACTCTGTATTTTGAGTGGAAATGTTAGGGGGTTGTCTTATACGCCCAGTCGTCTTATACGCCGGCAAATACGGTAAATGGAAATGACCACCTTCAACTGGAAATGTCATAAAAGTTTTAGATTATAAATGCCCCTACATAAAGCCTGGTTGATGTGATAACACTCCTAATGGAATTCCTAAAAATCATATTTTTAGTGTAGCCAGAAATCAAATAATGCTTACACAAGCTCCCTTTTCCTGCCTTATCAATGCTCATCTTCGCTGACAAAAGCGTGCAAATTTCCTTAATCTAAGAATAGTTAGCTAGCTTCTGGTGAGCACACTAGGTTTTAAGTAGTGACTTAAATGTGGACTATCAAAAGATAGACCTAATTAAACATTTCTGGGTGAGGAATTTAAAAATGAGGGAAAGACAAAAATCCACTTTGAAGATGCCTCTTCACAGTGGTGTTTCCATCACTGGTATCTCGAAAAGCAGCATGAACAACAATTGTCTCTGTGAGTTCATAAGCAAGACTTGCCTATTTAAGAAACTGATACAAAGATAGCAGACTATAGTCTGGCATAAAAAACTACGAAGGAAGGAAGTAGACTCAACAGAAAAAGATACCACATTGCTTCCTTCCTCTTCCTACCCTCTCAGCTTTCCAAAAACCAAAAATTCCATTGGATCTGGAAAGACCCTAAAATTAATTAAAAAAATTTTTTTAAATGTATTACTGAACCTTTGAACTGAGATAGCGTCCACCCCATTCTCAAGCACACAAAGAGGAGTTTCAGTAGTCTCTGCTCCCTACTTAACATGGCTTCTAAATCCAACCTTCTAAATGCAATCCATTTCCTCTTTCTCAAAAAAGGAGAAAAAAGCAAAGGGACAGATCAACCATTTTTCTTAGCAACTGTGTTCTTTGCCAGCTCAATAAGGACAAACCAACAACAACCGGGTTTCATTTCCCTTGCAGGACTCTTGGTTGTCCCCTGGCAAGCTGGTGAAGTGCAAGGTCCTTAACCAGTAATAGAAGGAAGTTAGGGAACATGATGCAAATCACATGAAGGTCAATTTTCCATTGTGTGTGCTCTGAGGATTAGCCTGTGACTTATACAGTGGCAACATGACATTCAGAGTGAAAAGAGAGCCTTGTACCTTGTTTCTGCCTGTGCCCCTCTATTGATGGAGAGGAAAGAGAGCTATTTGCATTAGTTATATCTGCACTTTCCTGCAGGAAAGATCTAGCATGGACAAGCTCTAGAAATTCATCTGCTTAAAGTCTAAAGGATCCCCTGTGGAGGGTTTCATAAAAGAGTATTTATTTTGTACTGAACATCAAAGTAGGGTTTCTAGAGGTGGTTTATACCAAGTGCAGGAAGTGTGCTGTTTGCATAGGGAAAATTGAAACCTCCCCTCTTGTATTATTTAAGTAGTAGAAAAAGAAATACCACTGGTGGTAGTGGAGTATAATTTATATCATATTTTAAATCATATGACTGTCTAATAAAATAAACAAACCTTGAAAAGAGTAATTAGGGAAGTGTAAAGTGGATAATTACAAAATTTCAATTATGCAATGTAGTGACATAATGTAAAGGCGT